ACACACACACACACACACACACACACACACACACATACATACATACATACATACACACACACACACTTGTATACACAGACACAGATCAAATGAACCAATCACATGAGACTCTGATGGGATGAACCAATCAGTCGAGACTCTGATGGGATGAACCAATCACGTGAGACTCTGATGGGATGGACCAATTACACGAGACTCTGATGGGATGAACCAATCAGGCAAGACTCTGATTATGTGGACCAATCACAAAAGCCTCTGATGGGATGAACTAATTAGTCGAGACTGATGGGATGATCCAATCAGGCGAGACTCCTATGGTATGGACCAATCCTTTGCTTTGATTAGGATTGACCCAGATTTAACAGCAGCTCCACACACTGCTAACCTAAATAAGCCCAAACCCAGATCCTGCCATATGTACAGTAAACACCTGTAACTGATGATGATGATGATGATGATGATGTCATCAGTTGTGTCCTGTAATGATCTAATATCCTCTATATGATGCAGTAACAGCTCTTCTTCGTGTGTTTTATTGAGATTATTTGAATCAAACACACAGGAGATGAAGAACAGACTTGTGTTGGACTTTGGGCAGCTGTAATGACCTTACTCCACTGTCCAGAAATAAACTCTACAGTGCTGTAATGATCTATAACGCGTTATAACAACCGGACAACAACCGAGCGAGTCCCTCACCATGACTAGAAGTGAGATTAAGAAGGGAGTGTTGAAAACCCGACACAAACTGAAGGACAGCCGCCAAAGCGACACACCGACAAACTGCACAATCAGTGTGTGTGTGTGTGTGTGTGTGTGTGTGTGTGTGTGTGTGTGTGTGTGTGTGTTTATAATATCAGCGGAGATACTCACCATTCCTCAGAGCGCGCTCCTGCTGCCTCGATGCACGCGCGTGTGATATCATCGGGTGACCTCAGTGGATTATAATGCCCTCATTCCGCGTGTCCGCCTGTATGCAAATGAGGCAGTGTCTCATCCACACACACACAAACACACACACACACACACACACACACACACACACACACAGGTTCCATTGTTTATCAGTGTTTGGGCTTTATTAGTGATAAAACTGGCAGAAACAGGTGAGAGCAGATTAACATAACATATTAGCATTATTATTATTATTATAATTTTATTATAACATTTTAACAGTATATATACATATATATAAATCAAATACAAATACATAAATCAAATACAAATATACATATGTAATAATCAAATAATACATTGTAGAGTGCACAGTTTTAAAGTGCGTGTTGCTTTCTTATTTAGAGAGTCTCTGATATACTAATATATAAGCATAATTCAGTCATCAACACCTTAAACACCTGTCAGCATTATTGTGAGTGGAGTTATCAGTCTGCACACAGCCCACATGCTGAAATACTACAGTTCAGTCTAGTGTTCTAGCATATTCCCCCAGTTACAGACATGTAGATAAAGCAGTGTACAGTCATCATCATCATCATCATCATCATCATCATCATCATTCTGCTGTAGTGTGTTCTGCTGTGCTGCTCCTGCTGCTTTATTATGCAGTAACCTGCTGCTAGTTAAACTCGTCTCCTCTGACCCTTTATTTATTTATTTATTTGATTATTTGATGATTTGCTTTACTCTAGACTTTGTCTGTTTTGCTTTTTTCATGAGAGATGTAAATAAAGTGTTGTAAATACGTCATATTTCTGTTAAATCTCAATAAGAGCGTTCAGTGAACTAACCATACTGAAGTGTATTATAGCCTACTGTATATTCTGTTATTTACTTTATAGTGTGGACTATAGAGAACTGATCAACTAATACTGTAGTGTACTGTAGTGCTTACTGCAGTAAACTGTGCTGTAGTGCAGTATAATATACCCTACAGCTGTAGACAACTACAGTACTGGCTCATTTCTTTATATTACTATAGTTATTGTGTTACCATAGCAACTGTAGAATCACCACAGCAGATTAGTTATTAAAGCGGTTGTGTTACCATGGCAACTGTAAAATCACCACAAAATTTCAATTATTAAAGCGGTTGTGTTACCATGGCAACTGTAGAATCCCCACAGCACATTAGTTATTAAAGCGGTTGTGTTACCATGGCAACTGTAGAATCACCACAGCACATTAGTTATTAAAGCGGTTGTGCATGGCAACTGTAGAATCACCACAGCAGATTAATTACTAAAGCAATTGTGTTACCATGGCAACTGTAAAATCACCACAACATTTCAATTATTAAAGCCTTTGTGTTACCATGGCAACTGTAGAATCACCACAGCAGATTTATTTATATAGTTTTTGTGTAACCACAGCAACTGTAAAATCACCACAACAGGACAATGCAAGTAGTTGTGTGTGATGAGTGTGTTTCTTGTGTGTGTGTGTGTGTGTGTCAGTCAGAGTCCCTCTCTCCTCCTCTGCTGGTATTGTTGTTGTTGTTATTATGGGATGCCATTGTGCCGCTGCTGCCCTCAGCCTGCGGATCTCAGTAACTCGCACTGCCGGACACATTCGGTCATGTCTCCCGGGCGGGCATCGCGTCTGGCGGACTGAGGGTTTATGATTCCGCGCGGCTTTCGCTGAAGATCGCAGAAGATGCCGCGGAAGACGCTGCGCGCCGCCGTTGGGCTGCTTTGCGCGGGCGCCGGTCTGGTTCAGGTAAGCCGGCGGTGAGGCCTCTGAAGCGGCTGGCGCTGAACTCGAGCTCGGGGATCGGCGAGCTGCGGAGGCCTCGAAAAACAACTTAATTAAAGCCTCAAACAAGCGTTTGAAACACGGCCTTGATGATGTGGAGACACTGAGGGATTTAAAGCACTTCTTATTCGTCATTTAACGTCGACATAATCGTAGTTTACAGTTTAAATCAAAGGCGTTACAGTAACGGGAAGCTTCGAGAGAGATATGCGCTTGTTATTGTTGTGATCTCGGTGTTGATCAGTGTGTGTGTGTGTGTGAGTGTGTGTGTGTCGGGTTTGTGTTCAGGGTTTGACCTGTACTTCGTGTTTTAGAGGTTATTGTGTCGGAAAATCGGCCGCAGAACAAAGAAACAGAAACCGCCGCGTTCCCTGTGTATATTCCCGATATTAATGTTATTATGGCTCGGTTCTGCCGGCGGTGCTGTGTGGAGCTTCTACATCTGTATATTTACATGTGATCCAGTTTACTGGCGCTTCTGAATCAGTGTTTCCAGCATTAAATGACACACTTTAGACACAAAGGTCATTGTGTGATGATCAGATGTGTGTGTGTGTGTGTGTGTGTGTGTGTGTGTGTGTGTGTTAGACTCAGTACCTTTGTGTGTTTATGTGTTGAGTTTGACCCAGTGCTTGAGTGTCTGTGTAGTTTTTGAACCTGTGTGTGTGTGTGTGTGTGTGTGTGTGTGTGTGTGTGTGTGTGTGTGTTTGACCCAGAGACTTTGTGTGTGTGTGTTGTTTGACCCAGTCTGTGTGTTGTGCTTGACCCTTTTTGTGTGTATGTGTTGTATTTGACCCAGTGTGTTTTTCTCAGGGTAAGGTGTTCTGCTCTGGTGTGAATAATGAACAGTACCGCTGTGAGATGGGCTACTGCTGCGGGGAGACGGAGTGCTGCACCTACTACTATGAGCTGTGGTGTGAGTATATACACACACACACAATCACACACACATGCACAATCACACACACAAACTTCTGGAAGAGAATCAATAGTTCTCAGTAGAAATCATTGTTTATTGTGAATCAGGCCAATTTTAGGGCCCTTACTAGTCTGCAGTCTGCATGGACACTGCAGTTGATCAGACAATGCACTAAATTATAATTATTGTAAATAATCCAGCTGTGTGGTTTAGATTGTGATGTCATCATACTGGTGTGTGACACACGATCGCGTCGTGTCAGGATAAGTTTCACTACTGCAGTGCCAAAAATCATTAACAACGCTGATAAATAACAATAACGGCGATAATCGACAATACCACAGATAATCAACAATAAAGCCGATAATCATTAATAACGCAGATAATCATTAAAAACGACGATAATCAACAACCCAGATAATCCACAATAATGCTGATAATTAACAATAACACCGATATTAAACAATAATGCTGATAATCAACATTAACGGCGATAATCATCAATAACGCAGATAATCATTAATAACGTCAATAAGCAACAATAACGCCGATAACCAACAATAAAACAGATAATCAACAACAACGGCGATAATCAACAATAAAGCCGATAATCAACAATAACCCCGATAATCATCAATAACACAGATAATCATTAATAACGTCGATAAGCAACAATAACGGCTATAACCAACAAAAAAAGCAGATAACAACAACGGCGATAATCGACTATAACGCAGATAATCAACAATAAAGCAGATAATGAACAATAACGGCAGTAATCGACTATAACGGCAATAATCGACCATAACGCAGATAATCGACAATAACGGCGATAACCAACAATAAAGCAGATAACCAACAATAAAGCAGATAATCAACAATTACGCAGATAATCAACAGTAACGGCGATAATCAACAATAACGCAGATAATCAACAATAACGCAGATAATCAACAATAACGCAGATAATCAACAATAACGCAGATAATCAACAATAAAGCCGATAATCAACAATAAAGCCGATAATCGACTATAACGCAGATAATCAACAATAAAGCAGATAATGAACAATAACGGCAGTAATCGACTATAACGGCAATAATCGACCATAACGCAGATAATCGACAATAACGGCGATAACCAACAATAAAGCAGATAACCAACAATAAAGCAGATAATCAACAATTACGCAGATAATCAACAGTAACGGCGATAATCAACAATAACGCAGATAATCAACAATAACGCAGATAATCAACAATAACGCAGATAATCAACAATAACGCAGATAATCAACAATAAAGCCGATAATCAACAATAACGGCGATAATCGACTATAACGCAGATAATCAACAATAAAGCAGATAATGAACAATAACGGCAGTAATCGACTATAACGGCAATAATCGACCATAACGCAGATAATCGACAATAACGGCGATAACCAACAATAAAGCAGATAATCAACAATAACGCAGATAATCAACAATTACGCAGATAATCAACAATAACGCAGATAATCAACAGTAACGGCGTTAATCAACAATAACGCAGATAACAATAACGCAGATAATCAACAGTAACGGCGATAATCAACAATAACGCAGATAATCAACAATAAAGCAGATAATCAACAATAACGGCAGTAATCGACTATAATGGCAATAATCGACCATAACGCAGATAATCGACAATAACGGCGATAACCAACAATAACGCAGATAATCAACAATAACGCAGATAATCAACAGTACCATAGATAATCAACAATAACGCAGATAATCAACAATAAAGCCGATAATCAACAGTAACGGCGATAATCAACAATAAAGCAGATAATCAACAGTAACCCCGATAATCATCAACGACACCTGCTGCTTTTAGGGTTTAGTGTGGTTTGGAAAGGTCCCGGTTTGAAGTCTCCTGTCCTGCGCGGCATGGGTTGTAGACTCATTATTGCAGTGCATTGTGGGATTGATTGAGTGCACTTCAGAACACCCACTGTGGTTCCGGACACCACTAGAAAGGGCTGCTCCCTCAAACAGTGCACTAGTAAGGGTATAGGGGTGATTTTGGATGCAGCCAATGATTTTATTATTAAATTTTATTTGTATTAATTTTTTTTATTTATTTATTATTATTATTATGAATTAATTGTGTGTGTGTGTGTGTGTGTGTGCGCAGGGTTCTGGTTGGTGTGGACTCTGATCATCCTGATGAGCTGCTGCTGCGCCTACAGACACCGGCGGGTAAAGATGCGTCTGCAGCAGGAGCAGCGGCAGAGAGAGATCAGCCTCATGGCCTATCAGGGGGCGTCCAGCTCATACATCAGCCCTGCGCCCCTCAACCTGCGTGAGTATACACACACACACACACACACACACACACACACACACAGTGAAGTAGGGATGCGCCGATACCATTTGTTTGGGACTGATCTGATGCCAATCTCAGATTTGTGAGCATCAGCAGATACTGAGCCGATCCCGATACTGAGCCGAACCCGATACTGAGCCGAACCCGATACTGAGCCGATCCCGATACTGAGCCGATCCCGATACTGAGCCGAACCCGATACTGAGCCGATCCCGATACTGAGCCGATCCCGATACTGAGCCGAACCCGATACTGAGCCGAACCCGATACTGAGCCGAACCCGATACTGAGCCGATCCCGATACTGAGCCGATCCCGATACTGAGCCGAACCCGATACTGAGCCGAACCCGATACTGAGCCGATCCCGATACTGAGCCGATCCCGATACTGAGCCGAACCCGATACTGAGCCGAACCCGATACTGAGCCGAACCCGATACTGAGCCGATCCTGATACTGAGCTGATCCCGATACTGAGCCGATGCTGATACTGAGCCGATCCTGATACTGAGCCGATACTGAGCTGATCCCGAGACTGAGCCGATGCTGATACTGAGCCGATGCTGATATATGTATATGACAGACGACACTCTCCCTGTAGACATGGTGTGTGCTGTGATCTACAGAATTGGAGCTTTTGCTTTGACACTGACCTGATCTGCTGTGTCCAGCTGATGTTTCCTGTAATATGAAGGCTGTTCTCTGAGATCTGCTATAGGCACCACTACTGACACTGATCACTGGTAAATGACCATCCGTCAGCAGAGCCTGATGTTCTCCTGCAGGTTTGAGCAGACGCAGCAGATTAACTCAAACATTCCCTCTCCTGAACTCACGGCGAGTGAGACGGAGAAACTGAAAGCTCATCAGCACAGAGTAAAGCCAGATGCTGAAGACACTCTGTGAAATAATGAGGGATATTCAACATGCAGCATGTGTCAGAGCGGTGTGTGCTGCAGCAGTTACAGTGGAGCCTTCATCACATCCTCATAAACTGGACTGGCACAAACACACACACACATGCAGAACTCAGTAACACAATCTGTTGAGACACGTCGAGCTGACGGTGGTGGAGTTTGCAGCAGGATATTATTGAGAGAACGCTGGCAGGAACAGTGATCAGCTGTGCAGGAGCGCGTCTACACCTCATCTGTACACCATCATGCACGTTAGGATGCATGCGGATACTGTAGCCCACAGCACAACCGTCTACTGCCCTATAACAGGCTGCCTTCATGACCTATGAACTCAGAGTTCAGCGCACACCCAAGATAAGATTTGGATCAGTACCAGCTGGCCGATACCGCATCCAGAAAACATGCAGCATCAAACCCATATCTGACCCAAATATCGGGACCGGTGCATTTCTAGAGTGAAGTGGGTGGGGCCAGCTGTGAGCAGATGTGCTGAGAGTATCACTGACTGTGTGTGTGTGTGTGTGTGTGTGCATGGGTGTGTGTGTGTGTGTGTGTGTGTGTGTGTGTGTGTGTGTGTGTGTGTGTTTGCGCTCAGGCTTCTGGACGGACTGTAAGCTGCCGGACTATGAGGAGGTGATGGCGCACCCGCCCACGCCCCCCCCACCCTACTCAGAGTCTGCAGCCACTGTGGGAGGAGCTATGGAGGAGCCGCAGCACGGGGCAGAGCTGCAGCAGGGGGAGGAGCCGCAGCAGGGGGAGGAGGAGCCCAGCGGCCGGCGCAGACACGTGACGGGTGACTCGGGCATCGAGGTGTGTGTGTGCCAGCTGGAGGACGAGGACGAGCGGTGCACGGGTGCTGACGGCGGCTGCTGCCCTGAACACCAGAGCCTGCAGGGGAAGGAGACGGAGCCGGCGGCACCGCAAACACTGCAGCAGACACTGTAACACCGCGCTGCAGAGAGTGTGTGTGTGTGTGTGTGTGTGTGTGTGTGTGTGCGTGCGTGTTTCCCAGCATCGCTCCAGCTTTCCTCCACTCAGACTGATCCACAGACTGTTTGTTTTCCACTGCTGCTCCGTGACTTCAGCCCTGAGAGACTGACACACCTCCCGCAGGACACACACACACACACGCACACACATGCGCACACGTGCAGCGGCACACCCACTTTTATATGTTTGTGTGCCTAAAACTTCAATGACTGCCGCTGGAGTGATGACTTCATGCATGAGAGTGTGTGTGTTAGTCTGTGTCTCTGGATGACTGTGTGTGTGTGTGTGTGTGTGTGTGTGTGTGTGTGTGTGTGTGCGTGTGTGACACTGATATCTGCATGTCGGATGTGTAAATCTGCACCTCCTGTCTGACCGGACTGAGCTTTACTGTAAGGGCTACTCATTGTGGTGTTCGGAGAGAGAGTGTTTGTGTGTGTGTGTGTGTGTGTGTGTGTGTGACTGCGCTGAACACACTCTCGCCGCCGCCTCGCTCACTACTCATCATCATAACTCTGCTGTTTACAGACTCTGTGCCTTTCCCTGTGGAGAAACAGACTGACGGACTCACTCGGCTATGCAAAACTCAGCAGCAGCGCCCTCGCGCGCGTGTGTGTGTGTGTGTGTGTGTGTGTGTGTACGTGCTCCCCCGGATGCTCTTAAACATGAAGCCTTTGACATTGAGCAGCTGTGCGTCTGCAGCGTGTGTGCGTGCGCGTGTGTGTGTGTGTTTAATAGTGATGCTGATGTGTAATGAGGAGCTCCTCTGTGTGACTCCTGCACTGTAGTAGAGCTGAGCGGAGGTGTGTGTGAGTTCAGACGGAGCGAGATGATGATGATGATGATGATGATCTGGGCTGTGTGTGGTCTCCGCGGTTGGCTGGTGTGTTTCTATAGTCATTTGTATTTTATTTTTGTAATAAAACAATAAAGCAGCTTTGGCACTCGCGTGTGTGTGTGTGTGTGTGTGTGTGTGTTTCTCAGAGACGCACAATCAGCAATACAAACAGCTCCACTTTAATCAGTCATCATCAGCTTCTGAACAATAAATAAACAGTAATAAACACAGCATGTGTGACGGGGCCGGCACACACACAGCGAGAGCAGAGGATCATGGGAAACACCCGGCTGAGCTCTGCTGGGATACTGCGGTCCGACTGCTGTTCATCTGTATAGAGCAGCTCTGACACACACACACACACACCCTGCACTGCGCACAGAGCTGTGTGTGTTATTCATGTCCAATAGTGCAGACTGGAGTTCTTCATGTGTGTGTGTGTGTGTGTGTGTCAGTAGAAGCGCTTGCGGCGGCTCTCGCTCCAGTGTTCATACAGCACCAGTCCCACCACCACCAGCAGAAACACCCCCAGCAGAGTGAAGAGCACGCTGAAGAAGATGCCCACGCTGCTCACACTCTCCTCATCTACGGGAGCTGACACACACACAGACAGACACACACATTAGACATTTGCGCACACACACACACACACACAGAGATAATACGGTGATCCGCTCATACTTACGCCTCAGCAGGTCGATGTTGTCCACGCTGGGAACCAGAACCTCCTCCTGCTCCTCGTCCTCCTGCTTGCTGCGCAGGATCGTCAGCTGGTAGAGCTTCATGGAGATCAGGTCATGATTATCTGACACACACACACACACACACAGAACATGAGCTTGAGGCTGACATCATGATTCACTTATACACCTGTGTGTGTGTCTGTGTGTGTGTGTGTGTGTGTGTGTCACCTGAAAGGTCTCCTGTGACAGCTGAAGCCCCGAAGTAAAAGCCCTGCGGCAGACGAACACCAGGAACATCCAGACAGTCTCTCCACTCATGCTGCCCGTCGATATCCATCATGACCTGCACACACACACACACACACACACATATATGGTCAGTAGTGTTTTTGTTTGTCAGTAGTGTTGGGAGTCAGTGGTTTCGGGTCAGCTGTGTCAGGTGTTTGTCAGTGAGTTGAGTTGGTCAGTAGTGTGGGTCAGTAGTGTTGATGTCAGTAGTGTTGATGTCAGTAGTGCTGGTGTCAGTGGTGTGGGTCAGTAGTGTTGGTCAGTAGTGTTGGTCAGTTGTGTTGATGTCAGTAGTGTTGGTCAGTAGTGTTGATGTCAGTAGTGTTGATGTCAGTGGTGTGGGTCAGTAGTGTTGATGTCAGTAGTGTTGATGTCAGTAGTGTTGGTCAGTAGTGTTGATGTCAGTAGTGTTGGTCAGTTGTGTTGATGTCAGTAGTGTTGGTCAGTAGTGTTGATGTCAGTAGTGTTGGTCAGTTGTGTTGATGTCAGTAGTGTTGGTCAGTAGTGTTGGTCAGTAGTGTTGATGTCAGTAGTGTTGATGTCAGTATTGTTGATGTCAGTAGTGTTGATCAGTAGTGTTGATGTCTGTAGTGTTGGTCAGTAGTGTTGATGTCAGTAGTGTGGTTCAGTAGTGTTGATGTCAGTAGTGTTGATGTCAGTAGTGTTGGTCAGTAGTGTTGATGTCAGTAGTGTTGATGTCAGTAGTGTTGGTCAGTAGTGTTGATGTTGTTGGTCAGTAGTGTTGATGTCAGTAGTGTGGTTCAGTAGTGTTGATGTCAGTAGTGTTGATGTCAGTAGTGTTGATGTCAGTAGTGTTGATGTCAGTAGTGTTGATGTCAGTAGTGTTGGTCAGTAGTGTTGATGTCAGTAGTGTTGGTCAGTAGTGTTGGTCAGTAGTGTTGATGTCAGTAGTGTTGGTCAGTAGTGTTGATGTCAGTAGTGTTGATGTCAGTAGTGTTGATGTCAGTAGTGTTGGTCAGTAGTGTTGATGTCAGTAGTGTTGATGTCAGTAGTGTTGATGTCAGTAGTGTTGATGTCAGTAGTGTTGATGTCAGTAGTGTTGATGTCAGTAGTGTTGATGTCAGTAGTGTTGGTCAGTAGTGTTGATGTCAGTTGTGTTGATGTCAGTAGTGTTGATGTCAGTAGTGTTGGTCAGTAGTGTTGGTCAGTAGTGTTGATGTCAGTAGTGTTGGTCAGTAGTGTTGATGTCAGTAGTGTTGATGTCAGTTGTGTTGATGTCAGTAGTGTTGATGTCAGTAGTGTTGGTCAGTAGTGTTGATGTCAGTAGTGTTGGTCAGTAGTGTTGATGTCAGTAGTGTTGGTCAGTAGTGTTGATGTCAGTAGTGTTGATGTCAGTAGTGTGGTTCAGTTGTGTTGATGTCAGTAGTGTTGATGTCAGTATTGTTGATGTCAGTAGTGTTGATGTCAGTAGTGTTGGTCAGTAGTGTTGATGTCAGTAGTGTTAATGTCAGTAGTGTTGGTCAGTAGTGTTGATGTCAGTAGTGTTGATGTCAGTAGTGTTAATGTCAGTAGTGTTGGTCAGTAGTGTTGATGTCAGTAGTGTTGGTCAGTAGTGTTGATGTCAGTAGTGTTGATGTCAGTAGTGTGGTTCAGTTGTGTTGATGTCAGTAGTGTTGATGTCAGTATTGTTGATGTCAGTAGTGTTAATGTCAGTAGTGTTGATGTCAGTAGTGTTGGTCAGTAGTGTTGATGTCAGTAGTGTTAATGTCAGTAGTGTTGGTCAGTAGTGTTGATGTCAGTAGTGTTGATGTCAGTAGTGTTGATGTCAGTAGTGTTAATGTCAGTAGTGTTGGTCAGTAGTGTTGATGTCAGTAGTGTTGATGTCAGTAGTGTTGGTCAGTAGTGTTGATGTCAGTAGTGTGGTTCAGTTGTGTTGATGTCAGTAGTGTTGATGTCAGTATTGTTGATGTCAGTAGTGTTGATGTCAGTAGTGTTGGTCAGTAGTGTTGATGTCAGTAGTGTTAATGTCAGTAGTGTTGGTCAGTAGTGTTGATGTCAGTAGTGTTGATGTCAGTAGTGTTAATGTCAGTAGTGTTGGTCAGTAGTGTTGATGTCAGTAGTGTTGGTCAGTAGTGTTGATGTCAGTAGTGTTGATGTCAGTAGTGTGGTTCAGTTGTGTTGATGTCAGTAGTGTTGATGTCAGTATTGTTGATGTCAGTAGTGTTAATGTCAGTAGTGTTGATGTCAGTAGTGTTGGTCAGTAGTGTTGATGTCAGTAGTGTTAATGTCAGTAGTGTTGGTCAGTAGTGTTGATGTCAGTAGTGTTGATGTCAGTAGTGTTGATGTCAGTAGTGTTAATGTCAGTAGTGTTGGTCAGTAGTGTTGATGTCAGTAGTGTTGATGTCAGTAGTGTTGGTCAGTAGTGTTGATGTCAGTAGTGTGGTTCAGTTGTGTTGATGTCAGTAGTGTTGATGTCAGTATTGTTGATGTCAGTAGTGTTGATGTCAGTAGTGTTGATGTCAGTAGTGTTGGTCAGTAGTGTTGATGTCAGTAGTGTTAATGTCAGTAGTGTTGGTCAGTAGTGTTGATGTCAGTAGTGTTGATGTCAGTAGTGTTGATGTCAGTAGTGTTAATGTCAGTAGTGTTGGTCAGTAGTGTTGATGTCAGTAGTGTTGATGTCAGTAGTGTTGGTCATTAGTGTTGATGTCAGTAGTGTTGGTCATTAGTGTTGATGTTAGTAATGTGGTTCAGTAGTGTTGATGTCAGTAGTGTTGATGTCAGTAGTGTTGATGTCAGTAGTGTTATTTTCAGTATTGTTGGTCATTAGTGTTGATTTCAGTTGTTTGGGTCAGTTGTGCTGATGTCAGTGAATGTCGGTGGGTTTCTCTGACCGTGAGTCGGCGCCGGACGTATCTGATGAAGAGGAAGGTTTCGTGTTTCTGGTTTCGCACCATGGCGTTGCAGCCGCCCAGCTCTGTGG